TTAAGAGTTTTTTTCACTTTAATTTCTGTGTAGACTCAACAGGAAATGAGAGGAAATCTCTCCAGAGTGAGAGAAAATTCCCTTGAAGACGGTTGTCTTTGCAACAGGTGTCCCCAGTGGAAGATTTCCCCTCTATTCCTGATCTGTTGATAACTCAGAATTTTGGATTTCCCATCACTTTCTGTCCCAGTGACCATAGTTATCAGGACAGATAGGGAGGGAAAGCCTCCCCAACGAGTACACAGACAGCTACTGATTCATGCCAATCCCTTCACTGGGTTCCATCCCCAGCCCCTCTCTGCCAGTCCCTCCACTGGGCTCCATCCCCTGCCTCTCTCTGCCAATCCCTCCATTGGGTTCCATCCCCAGCCCCTCTCTGCCAATCCCTCCATTGGGCTCCATCCCTTGCCCCTCTCTGCCAGTCTCTCCATTGGGCTCCATCCCCTGACCCTCTCTGCCAATCCCTCCATTGGGTTCCATCCCTTGCCCCTCTCTGCCAATCCCTCCACTGGGCTCCATCCCTTGCCCCTCTCCGCCAATACCTGAAATGGGTTCCATCCCCCGCCCCTCTCTGCCAATCCCTCCATTGGGCTCCATCCCTTGCCCCTCTCTGCCAGTCTCTCCATTGGGCTCCATCCCTTGCCCCTCTCTGCCAGTCTCTCCATTGGGCTCCATCCCTTGCCCCTCTCTGCCAGTCTCTCCATTGGGCTCCATCCCTTGCCCCTCTCTGCCAGTCTCTCCATTGGGCTCCATCCCTTGCCCCTCTCTGCCAGTCTCTCCATTGGGCTCCATCCCTTGCCCCTCTCTGCCAATCCCTCCACTGGGCTCCATCCCCCGCCCCTCTGTGCCAATCCTATCCCGCCTCAACCTAACCACTGAATTTGTACTTCCTCCGTCAGCTCCTCACACGGTTATTACCTCATATCTTCATTTTAGATTGTAAGCTCCCACGAGCCCGGCCCTCCAAACCCTCATTTCCTTCATTGTATTGTAACCGTACCATCTGCCTTTATTGTGAAAAGCGCCGCGCACACTGTTGGCTCTACGTACAGTAAATCCTGTATATTAATCACCCGACAGAGGGTCTCACCCCTCCAAAACTAACAAAGAGAAGTTCGGAATACATCATTGTGTTTGTGAAGTGATTGTTGTGGAATGTTACGTTTCAGTGCAAAGGTTCTCAGGGAAGGCAAACGGCGTCCAATGGACTTGTGTGTAAAATCAGCAAAAGCAACACAATGTCTGCTAGGTGTGTAATACCGACAATCTGTAGCGTGTGATGCTGAATGTACTGAGATCTCGGCGTACCATAATAATCACAATTCTGACAATACTGTATCCTCCTGTAGTATATGTGTAGTACTGGAGGTGTGTGATCATAGTACTGGACGCGGAGAGCTTTGCGGTCACAGTAAGAATTGTGTGTCTGTGTGTATTGTGTGGCGTAGTACAACACATGGTTGAATGGGAATGTTGTATGATGAGGGAAAACAGTGCAGTATACAGAGTGTGGTACTGTATATGGAACTCTGGGAGTTGCATACGGTAGACTACACTATGGCAGATGTATGATATATGGGAAGTGCTGGGGGTATACATATAGTACGGATGTACACTGACACAATCTATATACTGTAATACTATGTAATAAATAAAATCGTGTATATTGCACATTGAAGTGCGGTATGTGGACAATGGAGTATTAGGCATTCAAGTGCACCCTGTAGTTCATGTATACAGTGCACGCTGTGGGGTGATGTATACAGGGTACTTAATCCTCCTGTCCCATCGCACTCCTGACCGGACAAAAACCCAAATCCAACTGGGTGGGTGCGGTGGTGACAACGCATGCCTCCGTGAAATGTAGATAGATGAAAGTAGTCACTCGCACTCCATGATATTAAAGTCAATGCTGTTTATTGACTGAACCGCATGGTCTCCAAACGTCGCTAAGGAGATGTGTGTTATCTCACTTTAATATCATGGAGTGCGAGTGACTACTTTCATCTATGTATACAGGGTAAACGATTGGCGATGTACACAATGCACACTCTATAGGGGATGTACACAATGCACTCTATAGGGGATGTACACAATACACTCTATAGGGGATGTACACAATGCACTCTATAGGGGGATGTACACAATGCACACGCTATAGGGGGATGTACACAATGCATAGTCTATAGGGGGATGTACACCATGCACAATCTATAGGGGATGTACACAATGCACTCTATAGGGGATGTACACAATGCACTCTATAGGGGATGTACACAATGCACTCTATAGGGGGATGTACACAATGCACACGCTATAGGGGGATGTACACAATGCACAGTCTATAGGGGGTGTACACCATGCACAATCTATAGGGGATGTACACCATGCACAATCTATAGGGGATGTACACAATGCACAATCTATAGGGGATGTACACAATGCAAAGTCTAAAGGGGATGTACACAATGCACACTCTATAGGTAATGTACACAATGCACACTCTTTAGGTGATGTACACAATACACACTCTATGGGGGATGTACACAATGCACTCTATAAGGGATGTACACAATGCACACTATAGAGGATGTACACAATGCACACTATAGGGGATGTACACAATGCACACTATAGGGGATGTACACAATGCACACTATACTGTATGTACACAATGCACACTATACTGTATGTACACAATGCACACTATACTGTATGTACACAATGCACACTATACTGTATGTACACAATGCACACTATACTGTATGTAGTCAATGCACACTATACTGTATGTACACAATGCACACTATACTGTATGTACACAATGCACACTATACTGTATGTACACAATGCACACTATACTGTATGTACACAATGCACACTATACTGTATGTACACAATGCAC